TAAGAACTTCGGGGATGGCGAGAGTCGCCGGGCGGAAGAATATACTCTTGATGTCGGCGACGGTAGTGTGTGGCGTCGTGGGGATGAAACCATCGCCATGGTTGCCGTCGCCGCCGTCTTTTTTCGTTGTTGTCGCGATGTTCCGTTGTTCTTGCCTTCCATTAAGCCGGCTGATATTAATTCCGTAGCAACGGCGAATGAATACACCTGCGCGAGATGTCGAGACCTTTGAGCGCGGCTTAATGCGACTCAGCCCGCGACCTACCCCCCGTAAAAAATGTCCGCTGATACGCGCTAACGATCCGCGTCGCGGCGCTTCGCTGCGCAGCGTGGGAACGCAAAAGTGATTAGGGTGTGGGACCGAGAGCTCCTCGGAAACCCCTTGGCTTTTATCTCATCGTTGCATATCCGTTTCGACAGTGCATTTGCTTTGTTGCCGCTTGAAATCGCTTGGACGAAGGGAGAGAGAAGGCGGAGAGGACACGTCCGAACAAATTTAGGATTAACTCTCGCGACGCGCTTGAAAAAGAAAGTCAGCCGACTGCACCTTCATAATTATCTTCGCGAAATTCACCAAACACCCGTCGTCAACAATAAGGACGTTTTCGCACGACGCATTCCCCTCATCCCGCCGTTTGTGTATTTTATTTCGGGCATTCGTCGTATTACATTTCATTCCTCGGTTTTCAGAAACGCATTAACGCCGCAAATCGCGAACTGCCCGTGTAGATATAATCTCACAACAATTCCGACGGCCGGCACGGCCGAAAGTTATAAAACAAGTCGTAAATTCGCGAATCCGCCTCTCGCTGCCTGCGAGGGTAGAATCTGCATCTGGCTCGTGGCACGGAAATGCTGTATTATTCATGCGAATAATCTCGCAAAGGAGATACGTGAGGTCGGGACGCACGAGAATCGGAACACACATCGAGCAGTCGATATTTTCGCGATTATTCGTTCGACGTGCTCCCGCCGCAATTTGATTCATCGCACACGAACGCGCGCGTATCCTTACGAATACTTCGGGCTCACTCTACGAGTATGCGAACGGAGTGATTTAGGGAGGCGAGCTCGCGACGCCGTTTTGTTCCCGCCATGCCTGAATTTTACACGAGTCGGACTCTCGCATGGGCATCTAATCCCCCCCCCCCCC